CAGTAAATGATTTTGCAGGAGAATTTGATAAACAAAAATTTCAAACAGTAGATGATGCATGCAAGTTAGTTTCAAAAAATTTTTATATGTCAAAAGTGGACCTAAAGGCCGCTTACAGATCTGTCAAAATAAGTGAACAAAGTAGAGAGGTCACTGGGCTTACATGGACTTTTCCTGATGGTCATGATTATACTTTCATAGATAAAAAACTTCCGTTTGGATCAAAATTAGCACCTGGTATTTTTCATAGATTATCTCAGGCAATTCGAAGAATGATGTCACGTAGAGGCTTCACCATTGTGGCATATTTAGATGATTTTTTTATTTGCGAGAAGACAAAGAAGCGCTGCGCTCAGGCGTTAGCAATTTTAATTGCGCTGCTCAGGAAGTTAGGTTTTTGTATCAGCTGGTCTAAAGTAACAGACCCCTGCCAACAGATTGTATTTTTAGGGGTTGAGATAGATTCTACTACTTTAGAAACTAGACTTCCTATTGCAAAATTGCATGATTTGAAATCAGAATTAGCTGAATTTTTATTGCGTAAGCGTGCTTCAAAAAAGCAATTGCAATCTTTAGCGGGAAAGCTTAATTGGGCGTCTGCTGTGGTTCGAGGCGGGAGAGTTTTTCTCCGTAGAATTATAAACGGCATCATGCGATTAAAGCTAGATTGGCATAAATTGCGTCTGACAGGCGAAATATTGCAAGATATAAAGTGGTGGCATAACTTTATTTCAACTTTTAATGGGAAGTCAATTTTACTTTCAAAGGTTCCTATCACCTCTGTAGCTACTGATGCTTGTAAATCAGGTGGAGGGGGTGTCTATCAAAATGATTGGTTTTATGTAAATTGGGCAGAAGATCACCCCTTTGCTTTGAAACTTCACATAAATGAATTAGAGGCTTTCTCAGTGGCGTTAGCAGTAAAGCGATGGGCCCCATATTGGCGTGGTCAGCGTATTATAGTTCATTGCGATAATGCGGTAACTGTAAGTTGCATTAATAAAGGTACATCAAAAAATGCTATTTTGATGTCCTTTTTGCGTGAGCTCTTTTGGTTATCAGCAACATATAATTTTCACTTGATAGCTAAGCATGTTCCAGGCAAAACGAATATACTAGCAGACTGTATTTCACGGATGCATGATCTACCTTTCTGTGAACAATTTTTGCGTGATTATGTTCGACCGCCACTGTATTTACAGGATCTTGTTAGGCACATGTCTAGTAATGCCCTTCGTTTTCTTTTATTTAGGCTCACTGGTATCGAGGGAGGTGAGATCACTGGATAGTATTGTTGCTAACTTTAGATGTCATACTTATGCTGAATCTACCAAAATGACATATTTAAACTATTTCAAGTCATACGCAGAATTTTGTAGAAGATTAAATATTACCCTTGTTCCATTAAGTCCTATGAATTTAGCCAGATATGTAGCCTATTTATCTTCAAGGTTACAATTTAATTCCATAACAAATTATTTGTCAATTGTGCGGTTGCTACATTTAGAATCAGGAGTTGCATCTCCGATAGATTCCTTTTTTATGGAGTCAGTACTCAAGGGTGCTAAACGTGTGTTAGGTGCTGCCATACATAGAAAATTGCCTATTACACCAAAAATTTTGAATGAGATATTTACTTTACTGTCAGTCAGCAGTAGTAAGGACTTGTGTTTTTGGGCAGCCTGCTTAGTGGCTTTTTTCTCCTTTTTAAGGAAGTCAAATTTGTTTGCCCCTTCAATTTCAGCTTTTGATCCTTTGCGACATTTTACTCGTGAGGAAATCCATTTTCACTCAGATGGTGTCTGTTTAAAAGTACGCAAAACCAAAACAATTCAATTTTCAGAGCGTATATTAGAAATTCCCCTTCCTAGAGTGAAGAATTCTCATTTATGTCCCTCTAAGGCGCTTCTTTTTTCAATTTTAAACAGGTGCCAGCAGTGTCAGCCCCCTCACCTGTCTTCCTGTATTTAGTACAAGGCAAGGTTACCCCTCTTACATATACAGCCTTTGTAAAAATGCTAAAACAGAACTTATCTAGGTTGGGTTATGACAGCAGCAAATATTCGGGACATAGTTTTCGCAGAGGAGGGGCCTCCTTTGCCTTAGAATGTGGGGTTCCAGCTGATCTCATACAATCACAGGGTGATTGGAAATCTAATGCATACAAATCATACTTGGATCCTTCTTTTGCACACAGACAGGAAGTCATGAACAAATTTGCAGTTGCCCTGGGGAAATAATAAACCATTTAACCTACCTTCTACTGGTTACACCACACATGTTTGGGAAGTTTGGAATACCACAGATTATTAATTAATTAATTTGTGTATTGTTTTCAAACTGTACTGTTGTTTGTGTTTTATTAATATGAAATTTAAGCATTAAACTGTGGTTCTTTTCCCAAACATGTCTTTGTTTTACACTAGTAACCATCTGGATTCACAGGTTTCCTGACTGGATTCCGATCAGAGTTAGACATTAACATGCATCTGATCTGAGACTGGTCTAGATTCCAACAGCATATATACACATACACACTATACACATACACAGGGGGGAGGGAAATGGGTGGGGCCGTTTTCAAAGTGATGTGGATTAATGTGATATTTTTATTAACAAGAAAAATGGATTATTAATACACAGCATGTTGACATGTATCATCGCACATGCATTACCTGTCCTTATTGCCGATTGGGTATTTTATTTCAGCTTATATCTATTAATAACAACCAATGATATAAGGAATTCCCTACTGGCCACTCTTGACATCTCGCTCTCTAATTGCTTTGTGAGATGTGGGAAGGGAACCAATCAGAACAAGGCCCTTATTTCAAATTATCCAATCGGCAGAGATAATTAATTAATTATCATCCTTTCGTTTTAATTACTGCGCGCCTCATTTAGGCATTCTAGATAATACAACTGCATGAAGCAGACGCATTGCAATTTGGCATTAGCGAATTTAAAATCCCATCCTCACCCACCCTATTTTATTTTTAATTTTTATTGAGATGTTTAGGTTGCTTCATCAACTAATTATAGATATATAATTGATTTAATTTAACTGTATATTTTATAGATGTGTAGAGTAGATTATATTACAAGAACACACAGTTTTGGTTTCATATTATAAATGTAATATTCCCTTGAGTGGAATACCACAGATTATTAATTAATTGATTTGTGTATTGTTTTCAAACTGTACTGTTGTTTGTGTTTTATTAATATGAAATTTAAGCATTAAACTGTGGTTCTTTTCCCAAACATGTCTTTGTTTTACACTAGTAACCATCTGGATTCACAGGTTTCCTGACTGGATTCCGATCAGAGTTAGACATTAACATGCATCTGATCTGAGACTGGTCTAGATTCCAACAGCATATATACACATACACACTATACACATACACAGGGGGGAGGGAAATGGGTGGGGCCGTTTTCAAAGTGATGTGGATTAATGGTCAAATAGCTAAAGTATGTATACGTTGTGAGATTTTAAATATTTTAATAAGGGCATTCCCGATTAGGTAAATGCAGATCGCTGTGGACGGACCAAGCTATATTAATCATGTAACCGCGATAATTTTCTCTAAACATTGAAATATTCAAGGTTAATACCCATGATAATTTGAAAAAGTAAGTACAGTGTATGGTTTATACGCTCATTTTCGTGGGCCATTTTTATTTATAAAATTATTTAATTGAAAGTTATTCAGAATTTCGATGTTACAACAAATACTCACCTTTCTATTTTAAAATTAAGCTTACGCAAAATATAAAAGATATACATGTATATAACGGCGATTCAGGTATTTTGCTACCATATTCCTCCCAAAATATTTAATGTTTTTATCATTCATACGAAATGTTGTTCACACCTGTAACGGTGAGCCGTGTTGGCTAAAATTCACTGAGTGAAGATCAAAAGAATAGAATTACAGAATGCTAATCTTTTAATTACCTTGAATTTAACCACGCATTCAACAGGTAGTCACTAAGTGTCACAGTACAATACACATTGTATTTTCACAGTACTTGTGGGAAATGTTTGCTAGACTGAAGTAAAAGCCTTCAGGTGAGAATACAAACATGCATTTGTAAAACAAAATCAGTTATATATGTTTGTTCAAAATATCCGTCGGAAAAAAAAATCATAAAAATATATTCTATTGTATGATTTACTTTTATTACTATAATCATATCAGAAATCCTTTAAATATAAATCGTACATTTTAATTTTGAAAGTTGCACGGCTGATCACTTTACTTTCTTAATTATTAGTTGGTTAATAGCTACGCCAAAAGTCGTCGATGCGCTTTAAATCGCGTTATTAGATGATTAACGAACAAGACTTATAATGAGATTTATTCACTCCCGGCATGCAAAAAGACTTAAACTACGTCACATAAGTCAGGAAGTTGGAATAAATTAAATTATTAATTCCCAATTTTCTTCTTTATTAGTGTTCATATCCAGATAAAACTTGGTAAATATGTTTTTTATGGTATTATGAACATAATAAGATGAAAAGTAAAAAATCACGAATTTTCCCTTTAAGTGGGGTACAATTTTGTGGTTTTGTCTTTAAAGTTGATTTCATCAGGATTAATGAAAAAAAAAAGAACTCAAGGAAAATTAGATTTATATGGTTGATAATAAATATTTATAAAGTATTGATAAATAGTACATGACATTGTTAGCAAGAACCCCCAGATAAACCTTATTGAAAATTGATTAGATATAAGAATAAGAAGTTGACAACTATAGGTCACTGTACAGCCTTTAACAAGGAGCAAGACCAATGCTGCATAGTAAGCTATAAATAGATATTAGAATAAGAAGTTGACAACTATAGGTCACCGTACAGCCTTTAACAAGGAGCAAGACCAATACTGCATAGTTAGCTATAAAAGGCCCCTTATTGACAAATGTAAAACAATTCAACAAGAAAAGTGACGAAAATAACTCCATTTGATATTAGTATACTTACTAAATTTCAGCTTGAAGCAAAGAGATCAAAAGCTTTGTATCTAAGTAACTTGCCTGGTAACACAACACAGCAGAAAATGGATGCTATGTTTGAAATGGATGCTGATTGTAATTTGGATGAAGTTTGTCTGATGAAGGTATGATATAAGAATGGTGAAATATGTCATAAGATTTTAGTGATAAAAAAAAAAATCTTGATAGATACCAAGCTTATAAGTTTGTACTCCAGACACCACTTTCCCCTACAAAAGACTCATCAGTGATGCTTGAAAAAAAAGATGTAAAAGGCCAAATAAGGTACAAAGTTGATAGCATTAATGAATAAAAATAATAACATTTATCAAAATATATATACCGGTACCTTGGAGGAGGAATTCTGAACAATTCAAAAATTAAAACAGTTAATTTATAAAAATGCCCATTATCATTATCAATTTGATCTTGCATGGTGTTCTGTAATATAACACACCATATGTTAAAGTTTTCACATTCAGTAGGTTGGTGTTAACTGCTTAGAGCTTGTTTAGTGTATCATGGATAAAAATTTAGACATTTGATTTTAGGGAAATATTTATTTAGTAATAATTACATGTTCATATATGTTTCAATAAAAATCCTTAATTTTGATAGGCTGACAACAATCCTGAGAGACTCCATGATCAAATTTTATTACTGTATAAGATACAACATCTATGACCTCACTTCCTATCAGTGACAATGTTAGAATAGCGCATTGAAAAACTCACAATTAAAAGAATGAGTTTGAACACATCACATGGTAGGTGAGCTTGACTCTGCAATCTTCAATGAGAAGGGTTGTCAGATACCTGCTGAAAGTTTGAAGTTCTTTTCAGGCACTCCAGCTTCCTCCATAAAAAACTACCACAACCAAATAATTAATAGTCCTTAAAGTGGCATTAAATACTAATCAGTTAATCAATCTTTTTTTCTGTTTGTAGGACCCTGTAACTAGGAGTATAAATGGTACAGGTTGGGTTACAATGGTGGATGATCAGTCTGTACAGAAAGCTTTAAACTTTTTTCATTCTGGAGAGGTGAGTTCATTTTAGAATGTTCGCTACTCTTGTATTTTGACTTTTTGTCAGATATTCGGAATCCTCTTGTTTTATCCATGTAGTGCCATTAAAAGTTTTGCCCGCTAAACCCTACTTTTCTTTTCATATTTTTATAACATATAGTTTAAAAGCCATATTTGAAAATCTTATAAAATCCTTATTATTTTTTCATTGTTATTGAGAAAAAAAGGTGCCAATGTTAAATGTATGAAAAATCTAGAGAGGATCATTTCCCGCCAAATTTTCAATGGCTTATATCTCGAAAAGAAGCACACGGACCCTTCATTTTTTCTGCTTTATTAGTTTGTTTATATACTATCAATTTATAACAGTCTTTTAAAAAGCTTGTTATTTTGAAACAGAGTAGCGAACATCCTTAACTTGCAATTTGCACCTTTGAAAGTCTTTGAATTTAGTAATACTTAAAACCCACATCATTTAAAATCTAAAACCCACATTAATTACAATGATGTGTCAGATTTGTATACCAGTTAAGTATATTGCAAACAATTTAACTCTTGATTTAAGGTGACAAAGTTATTAAGTCCTTACTGGTTGAAGATGGCAGAGTTATTTTATCCTTTTGTTTCTGGGATAGCTAAGAAAACAGTGATGTATAGTTGCAAACTTTCTATGTCCTTAGGTCTCTGTTGTCTCACTCATTAGCAATCATATCATCTTCTTGTTTCCTAATTAAGTCTCCCAAACGAAGTTTGGGAAGACTTATTGTTTTTGCTCAGTTCTGATTATTATTATTATTCTTCTTCTTCTTCTTCTTCTTCTTCTTCCACCGCTTTTAAATTTGAACTTGTCCGCACCCGTTCTCCAAAACCGCTTGTCAGATTAACTTAGGGTTTCACAATATGTTAGACTAACATGTCTAGTGGTGCAATCAGGGTTTTGTTTGTGCAATGGGGTTTATAAAGGGATACTTTGAGGGGCAAAAAGAAAAGAGGGTTTTACTATAGAACCCTATGGAATTTTATTTTTTTAAATTTTCAAATGATTATTAATTGAAAACCGTTTGTGATAGATACAATCTTTTTAATTAAAAATGTTCTAAATGATAAAGCCCATTAAATGAAATACAGGGTTAGTCCCCAGGGGTCACCCCCACCCCCAGCCATTTAAGAAAGTTCTAATACCTTGTAAGTGGTCAAGATCCCCACCCCTAAACCATATATATTTTAGTTTGTTATGCTAAGATGGTTTGAATGATATACAGGGTTAGTCCCCAGGGGTCATCCCGACCCCCTGCCATTTGAGAAAGTTCTAATATCTTGTAAATGGTCGAGATCCCCACCCCTAAACCATATATATTCTGGTTTGTCATGATAAAGCACATCAAATGTAATACAGGGTTAGTCCCCAGGGGTCACCCCCACCCCCTGCCATTTAAGAAAGTTCTAATATCTTGTAATTGGTCGAGATCCCCACCCCTAAACCATATATATTCTGGTTTGTCATGATAAAGCACATCAATTGAAATACAGGGTTAGTCCCCAGGGGTCACCCCCACCCCCTGTCATTTAAGAAAGTTCTAATATCTTGTAAGTGGTCAAGATCCCCACCCCTTAACCATATATATTCTGGTTTGTCATGCTAAGATGGTTTGAATGATATACAGGGTTAGTCCCCAGGGGTCATCCCGACCCCCTGCCATTTGAGAAAGTTCTAATATCTTGTAAATGGTCAAGTTCCCCACACCTAAACCATATATATTCTGGTTTGTCATGATAAAGCACATCAAATGAAATACAGGGTTAGTCCCCAGGGGTCACCCCCAACCCCTGCCATTTAAGAAAGTTCTAATCAAAGTGGTCAAGATCCCCACCCCTAAACCATATATATTTTGGTTTGTCATGCTAAGATGGTTTGAATGATATACAGGGTTAGTCCCCAGGGGTCATCCCGACCCCCTGCCATTTGAGAAAGTTCTAATATCTTGTAAATGTTCAAGATCCCCACCCCTAAACCATATATATTCTGGTTTGTCATGATAAAGCACATCAAATGTAATACAGGGTTAGTCCCCAGGGGTCATCCCCACCCCCTGCCATTTAAGAAAGTTCTCATATCTTGTAAGTGGTCAAGATCCCCTACCCTAAACCATATATATTCTGGTTTGTCATGCTAAGATGGTTTGAATGATATACAGGGTTAGTCCCCAGGGGTCATCCCCACCCCCTGCCATTTGAGAAAGTTCTTATATCTTGTAAATGGTCAAGTTCCCCACACCTAAACCATATATATTCTGGTTTGTCATGATAAAGCACATCAAATGAAATACAGGGTTAGTCCCCAGGGGTCACCCCCACCCCCTGCCATTTAAGAAAGTTCTAATATCTTGTAAGTGGTCAAGATCCCCACCCCTAAACCATATATATTCTGGTTTGTCATGCTAAGATGGTTTGAATGATATACAGGGTTAGTCCCCAGGGGTCATCCCCACCCCTGCCATTTGAGAAAGTTCTAATATCTTGTAAATGGTCGAGATCCCCACCCCTAAACCATATATATTCCTATTTGTCATGTCTCGAACATTTGAATGACGTATACGGTCAGTCCCCAGGGGTTCCCCCACCCCCAATGTTCTTATATCTTGTAAATGGTTGAGATCCCCATCCCTAAACTATATATATTCCTGTTCGTCATGTAATGAACATTTGAATGACGTATAGGGTCAGTCCCCAGGGGTTCCTCCCCACCCCCAATGTTCTAGTATCTTGTAAATGGTCGAGATCCCCACCCCTAAACCATATATATTCTGGTTTGTCATGCCAAGATGATTTGAATGATATACAAGGTTAGTCCCCAGGCATCACTAATGCATATAACTTTACTGGACCAAACCAATTTTCACTGGATGTTGCCCAATGTCAGGCGACCCTGGGAATTACGAATTATGGGAGCTTCGTTTGGGAGACTTCGTAACAGCATCCTGTTACAATCATTTCTTGTTACCCTTTTGGGATTTTTACTGTATACAACTATCCAATCTAAAATGCATAGTCCAGGATAATTGGTAGCAAGAGTTATGAAAAACATTCTATATCTTTTGTCTTGCCAAGCGATGAAAGTCTCAAAATGCTAGATGTATAGATAACTACTGGCAGCTGCAGCTTAAACTATTTGTATATAGATATATTTTTCAGAATGTAGAAGATCTAGCTGCTCCATACCTTGTATACACTTATTTTTATCAGTTTCTGTCTGTAATACACTGTATGTCCATTGTCCTTGACCTATTTTTCATGGTTCAGCTACTGCTTAAAAAAGAATAAGTTTTATTTTTGTGTGAAATACTGACTCATTAAGAGTAATAGGATAATAAGATTTGGTAAATAGATTCTTTACAAGGTCATCATGTCTGTCAGACATGGTCCTCCTGACTTTGACTTCATTTCTGATAAATGAAAATTTACTTTGTTTCACGGTTCCTTATTCAATGTTTTCTTCGTTATGTTAATTTACTCTATACTATAAGCAATAGGTCAACTATATTTATTGTATTTATTTATCTGTAAGGGTTCATCTGACTTTGACCTAATTTATATTATTAATTTATAATCTAAAGTTTATGTGATACTTGTAGTAAACCCTTAATGTTTTATTGGTCAATGTTAATTTTCATGGTTTTGTCAATTAATCAGATACTAATGTCTATATTTGGCATATGGAATGATTGTAAGGTAAACATATCTGTCTGGAAGAGTTCATCTGACCTTGATCTGACCTTGATCTCATTTACATTGATCATTAATAATCTTTAAGTTTGTGTGATACTTGTACTTAAACCTTCATATTGCTCACTTTCAACATAAAGTCAAGTATGTGCACTTTTGTAATAATGATATATCTTTCCAGGCAAAAGTATTTGGTCAGCCTTTCAAGATCTCTAAAATTAACATTAAAGTAGATGATGAAGCAAACTCATTAGCAGAAGCTCAGGCAAAGTAAGTTTTGTATGATATGTGTTGTACTAGACACCTTTCAGCACTTAATTATTGTTCTACAGGTGGTCAACTCAATTTTAATTTGTCATTTTACCATTCTGTGAGAACTTTTGATAAAAAATTAAAGAAATTACCCAGAAGTCAAAACTATTTTTTTGTGTAGGAAAAAAAAACCAGATGAGAATTTAGTTATTTTTTTGACAAAAGTTTATATTTGACAATTTTAAGAGGTTTGTTTTTATCTTGGGCACTGAATAATGTATTCTCCACGTAAAACAGGAACTTTAGTAATTTTCTTTCTCAAACTTCTAGGTCTGCTGTACTATGATCTAAGTTTTGTTTTCTTGGAAACAAAAGATTTCAAAACCTCAAGTACATATATTTTAATGGTAGCTAGGTTTAAGCTCTAATTAGATTGAAGCATTTGCATTGCTGCTTGAAAAAAAAATATTGCATATAATTGTTCAAAGTCCAGGGGTTCAAATTAGCGGTGGTCCGAGGTCCGTGACCTTCCACTGTTGCAATCGGACTTTCGTTTTGGTTACTAGCTACACCCGACGGACCTTCGATTTTAAAGGAAATAAAATAATCTGAATAATCCAGTCGTTATATTACGCTCCCTATCGATCACTACATTACCTCTGGAGGACAATGACCGTAAGGGGGCGCTGTAATTATTCGAGTTAGAAATAAAAATGATATTTGCTTTTAATCATCTGTATCGTCATTTTTAAGCCATATTATTATTGAAATTGAGATAAAAAAAATGTTTCATCCCTGACCTTGCCGACAAGTGATAAAAGTTATTTTTAATAGAAAATGAAAGGATATGGAGTAAATGTACATGGGACAACATCGCACACAATACATAGAAAACATGGAAAATTATCAATGAACAGGGCTTTTATTCCTGTTCTTCATTTTGACAGTTGATGTAGGGTCTTCAACAATGAACGAATCATTCATACCCTACAACAAGGCCAAGACGGCCCCTAGCGTCGACTTAGGCAGTACTATTGATAAAAATAAACCACAGTTCACCTGCTTGCTCCCCACCCTCCTCGGAGTGCCAACTTGTGCGATGCTTGTGTACGACGGTTCTCCAGTTGAAAGCACCAGGGATACAAGAAAAGTGCAGTAGTTTTGAATGACATCGATCGCCGCTAAAATATGCCTTGAAGTTACACATGTCGGGAGCGGTCAATGAATTACATAATTTATAATTACGGGAGAGGTTTTTTCAACATACATTTGTCATACATTGCCCAACAAAAGACCAATAATTTCGAAACAACAAATGATAGACAATACATCTAAAACTAAAAAACAAATGATAGACAGCACGGGGCACATCGAAATATATGTAAGAAAACCTAGCAGTTTAAAATAGTATGAAAGGGCAATTTAATATACAAAACCGATGACCAGACCAGTATTTTGAAGAAATTTAACCAGACATGAAATTTTGACGGTGTATTAATATGAAAAATTCTCACATGAACAAGCACACCATAACTGTAAATATTATAAGAGCATACACCTCAGGCACGGGGAAACCTTGTATTTCTTGGAAACACAAGGTTATAAATAGTTGCAAGAAGCCACGTGACAAATCATTTAATAATTTAGACATTTTTGAACAAAATGAGTCGGTTTAACTTTGTGAATGGTTAAATTATATAGTCAATCACAATGTAATGAATTGTATAATATGTGAAAAATTTAGTGACAGACCTAGATAAGAAATGTATTGATCTGAGATGAAACTTGTTAAGAATGATTGGCGATCAAAATTGTGTCCAACTGTTTTGTCAGATCTATTATTCATAATATTTCACACTGAAGATATAGCATCATTTGATCCGGTCCCGGCTATTGAAATGTGGAACATTTCTGGACAGCGCTCCAGACGACCCAGTCAGGCACCCTATGGTCGTCGTGAGGATTGTGATGATGTGGAAGACAATGTTGACATTTGTTCTGTCCTTGATCCTGATTTTGATAAAGAAAATCATTGAGCTTATCAAAGCCCTTATCAAAATCAGGATCAAGACTCTCTCTTTTTCTTGTCTAACTTGTGTAAAAGAAAGCATGAAAATAAAAGTAAACATCTATCATTTATATTAGAGTTTGTCAAATGAATGTCATTTTTGCAGTACCAGTAGATTTGGAGCCGGACCAGTATATTTTTCAGTTCACTGGTCCGGCTGGCCAGTACACAAAAAAGCTTAAATTCGACCCCTGATTCAAGGCCACCATTTTTTTGGCAAATGTGAATCTGCCCCTTTTTTAATATACAGAAACAAAAAGGTTGTGATTTATATACTGTATTACAGAGAGGACTTTGAGTTGAGACAGAAACAAAAACAACAAGAGGCTAAAGAATACAGATCTATGATTCAAAGAACCACTGAAGAATCCTGGAAACGTCATGCCTATAGACTAGCTCATCCTGCTTACGCTGATGGAAGAATATGGTGACAACCTGCAATGATGCATACTTTATATACTAATAAATTAAAACATATCTAAAATATGTAATCTTCTACAGTTGTGAACATTCACGGTCCTACTTCTTGTTGATACTTACATTACAGGTCATACTAATTTTGCCCTTTCAACCAATCAATGGTTGAGTGAGTAACACTTTTATACGTCTCCTGTGCCCACTCTTTTAAGTGGACATGATATTTCTTTTTTTTATGCCCTTACTGCAGCCGTGGGTCCGTCACCAAATTGTTTTCTGTTTTCTAACTTGAGATTGCCTCAACCAAATGTCATGCAACTTATGTACAATGCTTATGTTTTGATCAAGATTGAATTAAAGTTTCACCTGCTCAAACAATTGATTGGTTGAAATGACAAAATTCCTGTGTCACCACTTATACTGTTCTAGAGTTATGCCACTTTACAAATTGGAAAATTGCTGTATTCATTTCTGTTCTGTAACTTAGGTTTGCCTCAACCAAATGGTATGATACACAATGCTTAATATTACCACTAAACCCAGATCAGTTTGGAATTTGGGTGTTGTCACTTTTACAGTTCTTAAGTTATGTCCCTTTATAATGTTATAATCAAGTGGGGTCATCATCTGTGGCCAATGGACATATTCTCTAATTTTTCTTAATAATAAGACTTTATTATTCGTTACCTTGCAAAAGTACGAAGTTTTAAGCTATTGTATTAATTGTTTTGACTGGATCTTATGTTCAGTTTGAGTGGACAAAGGAAAAACCATCTGAATTGTATATTGAATTATAGTCATTTCGTACCTTAACCATTTCGTACCCTGACCATTTTGTACCTTGACCATTTCCTACCTCATGGAATTTTAACATGTATATCATTTTGTACCTCATGGAAAATTTATATGTATACCATTTTGTACCTAATGAAAGTTTATATGTTTGCCATTTCGTACCTAATGAAAGTTTATATGTATGCCATTTCGTACCTCATGAAAGTTTATATGTATGCCATTTCGTACCTAATGAAAGTTTATATGTTTGCCATTTCGTACCTCATGAAAGTTTATATGTATGCCATTTCGTACCTAATGAAAGTTTATATGTTTGCCATTTCATACCTCATGAAAGTTTATATGTATGCCATTTCAAACCTCATGAAAGTTTATATGTATGCCATTTCGTACCTCATGAAAGTTTATATGTATGCCATTTCGTACCTAATGAAAGTTTATATGTATGCCATTTCGTACCTCATGCAAGATTTAAATGTAAACCAAATCATACCTCATGGAAAACTTATATGTTCCTGATTTCTTGATAAAAACTGTCTCATTGATGTGCACCATTCGTTACCTTATGGAAGAATTATATGTATACCATTTTGTTCCTCATGGAATGTATATATAATTTTTTTTTTAATTTCTGGAATTAAAAAAGCCATAGCAAGTTCTTTGATTGGTAACATATGGTGCAAATTTTTATGCAAACATTTTTATTCATTGCCTCTTCTTGTGTGAGTATCAGCTTGTGCCCCTTTTCACTGCATTTCCTGACAAAAACAACTGTTAATAACTATAAAAACAGTTGCAGAGAATTATTACTTTTTTGGTTAATTAACCTCATATTTTAAGAGTTGAAAAAATAATTAAAGTTCAATCCTGCAAACAAACAAAGTGTAATTAAAACTATTTCAATTTACAAATGCTGCCTAATCAAACCGATCATGGGTCTTTATAAAATTTCTATGGCTGAATGCAATTTATATATATGTTATGATTAAAAAAAAATCATCCCAAAATGTTTTACATCTTAAAAATAATTAGAACTTCTAAAAATATATGATAGAAAATGGTAAACATGCATATAGTCCATGAGGTACGAAATGGTAGATGAATTTTGCGGGAATTGCCCATAGGGTACGAAATTGTTTTTACTGAAGGTACGAAATGGTAAATGTTGGGTACGAAATGGTAATTTTGGGTACGAAATGACTTGCTACCGTGTATATTTTGACAGTGCCCATTGTCGTGTTTTTTTCTTTAGACTGTTTATGACATCTTTACACTAAATCCATTGGATGTGTACTGAATGAGATAGCTTTCAGTATCTGCGAGTAATCTTAGATTAGTACTTTGTTTCATTAGTCTTTTTGTTTGTTTTGTGGTAAGTCAAAGACTTTTCCAACTGATTTTTTCTGATTTCACTTATGGCGTGTTACACTACTACCCTCTAGTCATGGGAGGGTTGAGCACTCACAAGCATGTTAAACCTTGTCACATTCTGTATATGCTTGTCCCAAGTCAGGATCCTGTTATTCATTGTCATTGGTCACTGTATTTTATATTGAATTTTGTTTATTGGTTTGTACAAATTCAGACCATTTTACTTGGTCAAATGTGATGAAATTGACAAAACCTTTTTTACTATAAGTCTAGGTTGCCTTAAAGTTATAGTATTATTGCTTTATTTTTTTTATTATTTATGCTTGTTGAAATGTTTCTTCATGTTATTGTTTACCTTAGTTTAGTAATGTTAAAAATTGCATTATATTTTATTGTTAAATTGTCTGTGATATTATGTATTTAAAGGTTGCAAAATAAATACAGAACTCCTACAACACTTTGAGTTTATATGCTCTAGAAGTGAGGGTTATTCCCCAATCACCTTGTCATTTATTCAACGATTTTTATCACACTTTTCTTAGGTACTAGTGGATGGGATGACTTCCTATTCAATAAGAAGTTTGACACCGATTAGTTTTAAGCTGTGTGTACTATTTAATGCTCTCAAACACCGACCTCCTTTTTCCTATATTTTTAATTATTAATAAGGTCTTTGGAATGAAAGAAGAAAATGACTTTATATTTGGTTAACAACATTCTGTTTTCAAATACTTGAATGCAATATGTTCCAATGTAAAAAAGTCAAGAAAAGATTTTATTCTCATTCAGTCATTTTACTCATTGTTGAAGACGGTACAGTTGTATACAATTGCTTACATACACATCATTTGAACTTTGGTGGATAGTTGTCTAATAGGCAATCATATATCATCTCCTTATTTTTTTATGTCATATGTGTATGTTTAAGTTAAGTTTTAAATTCATGCCTTTTAGGACTGAAACTTAAAGAATTTATTGCATTTCATTTATTTTGTAGAGCAAACCAGTATTTTGTTGATATTTCTTTATATACCATGTTAAATATATGAACTTGTATTTGTGCCAAATGACAATAACACATTCATCCATTTAGTTTTGTTTTTAGTGTTATGACATAATAAAATGTAGTATTCATATTTGTTTGAGTTCTTCATGACTTTTGAAAACTTGCATGCAAATGAAAAAAAAGAATAAGGTCATTGAAGGGATAATTTTTCTTTTTTTTCAATAGACCTCAATACTTCTGTGAAAATGGTTAATTTCTCATTTACAGTTTGCAGCATACAGAAAAAAATAACTTGACTGTGACAAAAGTCTTAGAATGCAAGACATACCGATTTTAATTGCGGCGACAGTGTTACATTTTGTAACTATTTGTAAGAAGCTTTATATTTTGCTGGTAGAAGACCTCGATGTTTCATACCTTGTTTGCTGATACCTTATGTTGTGAAGTTATCATCTGTCATATGGTCATTGCCCTTGAACTCATTTTCCTGATTTAGTGGCTGCATAAAAATGAGTGTTTTGTCATGTGAATTACTTTCTTATCATTAGTAATATACTACTTATATTTGTATTTGGTTTCCTTGAGAGTTCTATATATCTGTCGGGCAGGGATCATATGACCTTGATCTCATTCTTATGGTTGATTGGTAAACATTAGGTTTTTCTTGTGGTTTGGTCAGTTTTCCTAGTACTACAAGCAATTATAGAAAGAAAAAGGAATAAGGTACCATTACTTTTTTAAGTGTCTGTATGTTGTACTGTTACACCACTATCCTAGGTTAGGGAGAGGGTCTGGCGCCAGCAGACGTGTTTACTCCTGCCACATCATATATGTGCCTTTACCAAGCCTTTAGTTCTGTGGTAGTAATTGGCTTATATCTCATATTTGTTTTTTTTTAATTATTTCGTTAGTATTCTCAATTGAATGGTATCATATTTTTCATGTCAGGGCCTTTTAAAGCTGACTATACTTTATTGATTTTCTCATTATTGAAGGCCATATGATTGCCTATTATTGCTTGCATCTATTGCATCTGAGCTATGGTAGATAGTTGTCTCATTGCATTGGCAATCATAACGTGTCTCTAGTGACGTTTTGGATTTCAACGAGCATAATCTATGTATTACTAGTAAACCAAGAATTCAAAACCTTTACTAAATTCTCCCATAGATATAATGATTGATTGATTGTTGGTTGCTTAACGTCCAGTGGCAAATATTTCATGCATATTCAGGACGAGAACAAATTAACAATAAAGACAATAGGTAGGTTCTGTAATAGGGGCTTCCGGGATTAAGGTCGGAGAAATTTAGACTGCCACGGGAAATGAGGGTATATTGGATAGGGACAGAAATTTAGCCTTGCAACAGGTCACCTACGGACCCCTCAAAGAGTTGTTACAAGGGTTCTTAACGTGCAAAGAGCGTGGCACTCTCTTTACACGAGGCATCGGATTTAACGTCCCCATTCTGACCGGACGTGGCTGCAAATTTGTACATCCCGCACAGCCAAACGGACGCCCCACTTTAGCAAGGGTTTTACTGCCGGTCGGAGGAAGACCAATGGTGACCATACTTCTATTCCCCAGTCACCCTTGGGGGTTCCATAGATATAAAGATTTGGTTTGCATGTTTGGATGTACCTGTAGAAAACTTATTTCAAACGGAAATAGCACATCCTAAATTTTACGGTGATGTTGTTAACACAACCCGACAATTTAGTTACGACCCGGGTAAACTTATCAATCCTTAAATAAACTTATTCTAAAAATCTTCCTGTTTAACACTGCATTGAAATCTTTCAATATTGTTTTTATTGGAATGAATATTGATTTTGTTATCAGTAAATTTAAACCGTATTAAGTATTATACATATGTACTTGCACTATACTACAATCTGTTGATACCTATGTTATGCATTTGGCATTGCACAAGGTCGTCTTTGATACATGCTTTTTTTATTATTGGTTTTAAACATGTACAGTATCAGGTATCCAGGATCGTGCCCAATACACATTCGCCATATAGTTCCGTTCGCACCCTACTACTTCTTCTGGTAATCTTCTTCCGTCCACGTTGGGACAACCTCAAATGAGTATTGTTCTGTCATCTATATGTACAGTAATCCGTCACCATAGTTAAATCCATCACCAATTTTATATACACCATATATACACTATAGTCATCAGGGTGAAATTAGAACTAAATGTTTGCGGCACACTAGCAATATACTTATTTCTCTATTATAAAATTACATTTGTCTCTTCTTAATGTCTAACGTTCTATATCTAGCTACGTGAAGAGCATAAATCAACTGTCTTGAAATATCTTCTATTCTTTGGAATAATTTGTTATCACTTGTATACCGGGAAAGTAACACGGTGCAATCCAACTTAAGATAATTTGTATTTGGTCATCAGTTGGTATGTCCCTCATTCTAATGTTCAAGAAATCAGAAATAATTTCGTCAATTTGGTTGAGATATCTTTCTCTAATGCATTGAAGAATTTTACATTTAAGTAAAAAATGAGAACGATCTTCGGTATCTATATCACATAGTTTACAGATAGGTGTTTCGTTCAGGTTATATCTTGATCTATGGGATTGTAGAATGTGCGTATCAGTAGTAACCTTCAATTTCACAGATAACCGGACAGCCTCTCTGGTTGGATCACTTGTATTTCCAATGAATAATAAATTATGGCATTTTCCTGGTAAAGTATTCAATGTTCCAAGGTATTTCAAAGATTTATAAGAACAACTCTTTTGTATTAATACATTTTTCCAATAGCGGTCGATCGCTGAACGGACGGATTTCTTCCAAGAGTATTTTGTTGGTGGATCGTTCAGAAGTAAGATTGGTGAATGTAAATCATATTTGAATAGTACTCTCTTGATCGCTATGAACCAGCTATTACTTTCTTCATTTTTTGTGATTAATTGCCTTCTTGCTATTTTCTTTTCCAAATTTTCTTCATTTTGATTACAAATGTTGTTAAATGGGTTTAATGATTTTTGATCAATTTGAGCTTCTATAGGTAGAATGCCAGACAGGATGTAAATACTAGGATCAGGAGCTGATATTGGTAAGGATAAAATTTGTTTTAATATTTTCTTCAGAAACTTTTCCAATTTAAGTAGGTTTTGAGAAGTTGGTAGTATGACTTCGAGACCATATGTTAGGATAGGTTGTACAAAGGTTCTAAATAGTTGAATAGCAGTACTAGGGCAAGTCCATTTTCTCCATGCATACCGGCTGACATTAAGCTGTAGGCAGCTCGTCTTGATTTTGTGATATTCTGTTCAACAGTAGCATCTTGTGTTTTTAGACTGGTTGTTGATCTTAAAATGCCCAAGTGTGGAGATTTTTCTGTAACTGGCATTGTATTGTTATTTATGGATATGCATACTGGAACGTCCGGTTTTGTCCGGTTTGAGGGTTGTACTTGCAGAACTACGCTTTTCAGAGGTTGTAAGAGGTAGTGATGGTCTTCACTGTATTGTGCAGCAATATTCACAAGGTATTGTAGATCATGTGGATTTTCACTAACGATTGCTACGTCGTCGGCACATGCTACTGTATTAATCAGCGTTTCACCAATCTCACATCCAGATGTAGTATTTTCAAATGTATTAAGAAGATCTTCGATATACACCTTATATAGATCAGCACTCAATAGACCGCCTTGTTTAACACCTTATAGAACTGGAAATTTTTCAGTGATTTCGGTTGACTACAAGTTCGCACCCTACACGTTCGCACCCAATTTTTATTCAAATACCAGCTTAATTTATTATATAATTTTTACATGTAAATACCAAAAACAAAATATATATTTTCATGAATAAAATTTTTGGAATTAGGCCAACTGAAATTAATTAGTAGATTTTCATCCAAATGTTTGAAAAAAATGGAGTGGGTGGGTGGATTTTATTTTTTAATTTTTATTTCCGCCGAAAATCCTTTACAATGAGTTCTGCATAAGCAAGGGTAATAATAAGCTTATGTCATGTTTATATAAGGAATTCTACATATTTTTTCAAATTCCTAAATAAATATTTCTGATCGGCAACGACTGTTCTGCACGTAATTGCCGCTTTATAAACCTATTTTAAGTAAATAGCAAAAACAAGGAGAAATGCTCTCTTTTAGACTTACTACATCAAATACGTTTGCTTTCTAAGCTACGGTTTGTAGTGCCCATGCAACACAAGTATTTTGAGTACATTTATGTACATAGTGAAATGAAAACTCAAACTGTTTTGAAAATACTAGGGTTGATGCTTTTAAGATTCTTATGCAAGGTGCAAATTGTTTTAATTTCATTAAATTACAATGTAAAACATGAACTTAACCAAAAGGAAGAAGTTGTTTAATGACTCTATTGAGGGGCTGGGGACAGAATGTGTTTGATGTTTGTCAACAAACAAAAAAAAACGACAGCCTTGGGGTAAATTTAAGGGCTAAGCCTTTCTTTAATACATTTTGTACGTTTGCCGACTTTTTGTACTAAAAAATATATACAACTATAAATCGCACAAGTTAATTCGTGCTGGTGTCAATTTCTTCATTCCAGTCATGTTTTTGTACCAATGCGTTCCACGATTCTTGCGTTTGGATATCATTCACAGTCCAAATTTCCTGGAACAAAGTCATTGTTTAAATAAAATAATTCACGGTTTTCAAATCACTGATATGTGTGCCATACCGCGATTTGAGTTCTTGGATACCGCCTATTATCGTAACCCGAGTATTTCATGTTCTTCCGTAATCAATCTCTATTCTCAGAAGATACTTTTGTCAAAATGGAGCAGCAGAATATGTCGACTTAATCTTTTTGGTTAAATTACTCAAAGAAATACGAAAACCGAAATTTGCAAAAGGAAGTTTTGAATGAAACTAAACTATTGACAGTTACCGATAACGGAAATGAACAAAATCTGGAAATCGTAAATTTTCAAAAATAAAAAAAATCGGGGCGGGACGATTTCGGAGGGGCGGGCGGGGATGAAAATCTATCAATTGATTTTAATTGGCCTTATTACTTTATTTATTTCACTTGACTGGGCGGATTTTAACCCGTTCGGTTATTATAGACCAGTCCATCTATAGACAGGTGTTTTGGG